GCTGAAGAACATATGGAACTCAAAACAACTTTCAAACAATATCAAAGTCACAATCTTCAATACGAACGTCAAGGCAGTCAGTTCTACTGTACGGAGCTGAAACTTGCAGAACTACAACAACCACCATCAAGAAGGTACAGGTATTTATTAATAACTGTCTACGCATGATACTCAACATCCATTGGCCGGATACCATCAGCAACAGCCTTTTGTGGGAGAGAACCAACCAGCTTCCAGCGGAAGAGGAAATTAGGAATAGACGATGGAAATGGATAGGACATACATTGAGGAAATCATCAAACTGCATCACGAGACAAGCGCTAACTTGGAATCCTGAAGGGAAGAGGAAAAGATGAAGGCCAAAGAACATATTACGTCGGGATTTAGAAGCAGATATGAAAAAGATGAATAAGAACTGGAAAGAGCTTGAAAGCATTGCCCAGGACAGGGTCGGATGGAGAATGCTGGTGAGCGGCCTATGCTTCTGTGGGAGGAGTAACAGGCGTAAGTAAGTAAGTAAGTAAGTGCCTGGATAAACGAGTGCTTGAAATAAGTTCACTGAAAACAACTCGTATTTGGCTTCTTATGACCGCCGTCACACAAATGGGATACACCTAGACAATATGAGGAGGTAAACAGAGTATTTATGTTTGTAGTATAGATCACTAACGTAGATGATCTGTGTTGGATGACTGAAGGCCTACTTGAGTTAGATGGGAATGTTGTGACGAACCAGCCAACTTTGAAGTCACATCTCGCGATCAGCACCCTTTCGTTGTATTAAGGCACTATGGCTGCTTTGAAGAATGCATAACATAAGGGACTTCATTACGGAATCATATTAGTAAGAGTAGGTACAAGAAAGAGAATGCGACCACTACTGCATTGGCCCGTCCTTGGAATGGGTTTATTTGATGAGTGTTGGTTGTCCTTGAATTTGACGAAGATCGGCGAAACCTTTGAAATTCATTGAACTGACTGCAGCACGATTCGGCTAAAGCCCACTGACATCTCACTAGCCCTAAAAAAGCATCTTCGTACGACAAAACTGTAGTGAGATACTGGGCTACTCAAATGTTATGCATTTTGAATCCTTGTTTTTTTCATCATTGGCATAATTAGTAATATGAGTGGATTTAATTAGGAATTAATGGGATAAATGGTAAAACTATACCATATTAACGGCAAAAGGCAGTTCTAGCAAGAAGACTGAATTAAATCATTCAGATATTACTCAATAGTAGTTGCTAGGTTTGAAGCGGTTACGTGTTTACTTAGACCGCGAACGGAAGAAAGACTCAGTGACCAAAAACCAATAAGCTAACTAGTTCGTGCTTCCCAGCCCTTCTAACTAAAGGAAGAAGTCCAAGCTTGCAATGGGGAAGTATATTCCTCAAACAACCAAAACGAGCGATAACAACAGACGCAATTTAAAACGTATATATATATATATATATATATATATATATAGTACAAAACCGTCCTTGGGGAGAGTTACCAAATAGCATATTAAAAGACGCAGCGGACCAGTAGTATTTAAGATATTTCCAATTGGGAAATACGACATGAAGATGAAAAGAGCGCCTTTGGCAAGAAAACAAGAAAACTCAAGTTTTCTAAATAAAATTACAAATATAGGTTCTTTCCCAAGTGAGTTCTGGGGATCTAACATCCCCAACAGTAGTACAGTTGGTGTATGCACGTTTTGTAGAGTTCACTTACACTTTCATAGAAAGGCCGTTTCAGTTGGTTTAACATACGATATTCAGTAGATTTTTTCAGTAAATAATTAGTCATTTGAAAGAATAGGTGAAAACTAGAAAACGATTAACCTCATGATTGATAACTTAAAGGTTAGCAATCAGAAAGCCATATCAAAATATTCCAACTGTCAGTCAACAGAGTTAAAGAAACCGACTATTTAAAGATCAATATACTAACCACATCTTTTATTCCGTTAATTGTTTGAAGCAGTTAAAATATCTTTAAACTTTGGTCACGTAAACATTTCCAGGTTTTCCATGGTGGTCTAGCTTCAACTGACTCATGATCTTAATGATTGAAAATATAACTCAAAAAATACAACTCATTGCTGAATATTCCAGATTTACGGAACAAAATTATGATGGAACACATAATGGGCACTTTTATCTTAGATATGGTGTTGCATAATCTACTTTAAACTAACTGAAGAGAAAGCAATTTATCGATATCATTGAATTTGTTCAGTTGTACAACGTGAAGTTTAGATTAAATGGAACAAGAGATAGTTCTGTCATATTCAGTTGAAATGTTGACAATAAATTCATTACACAGGATAACAATATTAGAAAAATAAGTTAGTGATGAAATTTAAATGATTGTGAATTGTACATTCAAGATCACATCTATGATAATGTAAGTATATAAACAGATGCTTTTGTGGTGTGTGCTACCTATGTAGACATAAGTAGTGTATGCAGTTATTCGTGAACAGAATGTCTGGCAGTAGAGAGACGAGAAGATCGAACAACAAAGAATGAAGAAAGCATGGAATTTGCATGAAAATGCAAGAACAAAGGAATTCTGACTCATTTGAGACAACTGATGAACAATTTGTAAATTGAGCATTTCATATATGGTTGTTCGATTGTTCCCCACTGGTGTTCATTTCACTACACTTTATCAACATCAATAATCTACAATATATCAATGCATATTATTTGATATGAAGAAGTCAATATCAGAAAATAACATACTCTGAAATGCTGATACCTGATCAATTGATCAGTGAAGTTATCGTACTACTTAATTTAATACTTAACGAGAATATTATCTTTACTAAATTCCCCCTATCAGTTTGTCTTCTCAAAAAATAAGATGCCACAGATATTCGGAGTTTGACAACACTTTAACCAGTAACACCTTGTAATATGAAGCGCACCCACCAAGTGTAATCAAAAGGCAGAAGCGAGGAGATCGAAGATATATTTGATAAGCTATCAATATATTAAGGGTCATCCGAGCTAATCTGGCTAGCGAGTACAGTAGATGTTGAGCACGGTGTTCTCACACATGATCTGGTGCGGATGCTTGACCGAGCGCCTTCAGCTAGATGAGTCCACTAAAACTGTGGTCAGCATCCAATGTCGAAAACTTACAGAGCTATTTATTTTGGGGAATTATTTACCGCTACACTGTTTTATATAAGGTCAGGTTCAATCCCTCTAATTGCTATAGGTTCCGGAGGTTTCAATTGCTGATAAAATTGTATTATGAACTGGAAATGCTTAAAAAATATTGACCTATCAGTTAAAAACACGTTAGTTCTGTTTTCGTAGCCCAAGGGAGAATTATCAACTAGCTCACTGTTTGACTTCTAGTCAATGACAACTAATTCCGTCGGCAATTGACGATCCTCCATGAATGTCTCTTCATTCGCTAGTTTGTCATCTTATTTTGTAGTATTTAATTTCTTCTACAACTATTGCCAATAGTTTTCTAATGTGCTAGCAAGAGAAAAAAGTGTGAAAAAATGAAACAAGAATATCTGAAGAAGTACCATGAGCGAGCTACTCAACACTATGTTGGTGAGGTACGGTTTTTCCATGCTCTATCCGGCTATCAGCGTATTTTTTACTCAAGATTCTCCAATACAACACACCATGCACAATTGACAGAAAAGATTTGGAAGATGTAAAAACCTTCACATATTTGGTCAACATCATTGATGAACACGGTAGATCTAATGCAGATGTAAAGGCGTGGATCGGAAAAGCAAGAGCAGCATATCTACAAATCAAGAACATCTGAAACTCAAAACAACTCTCTGTCAACTTCCAACGCCAAAGTCAGAATTTTCAATACAAATGTCAACACAGTTCTACTGTATGAGGCGGAAACCTAGAGAACTACGAAAACCATCATCTACAAGGTACAAGTGTTTATTAAAAGCTTTCTACTCAAAATACTTCTGATCCGTTGACCAGACAATATCAACAACAACCTACTATGGGAGAGAACAAACCAGATCCCAGTGGAGGAAGAAATCAGGAAGAAGTACCGGAAGTGGTTAGGACACACAATAAGGAGAGCACCCAACTACATCACAAGGCAATCACTCAATTCGAATCTTCAAAGTCAAAGAAGAAGAAGAAGAAGAAGAAGAAGAAGAAGAAGAAGAAGAAGAAGAAGGAAAAGTAGTAGACCAAAGAACACATTACGCAGAGAAATGGATATAAACATGAGAAGAATGAACAACAATTGTATGGAACTAGAAAAGAAGGCCCACGTGTCAATGAGTTGCACAATGCTGGTCATCAGCCTACGCTCCATTAGGAGTAACAGGCATCAGTCAGTAAGTAATCCGGCTATCAAGTGTGTTTACTCGTTTATCTTTTGAATTTCCATTAAAATCGTCACAATCTCCATAAACCTTCAATTTAATAACATCACTGAATATATTAATGTTTATATGTTTTGTTTATACTGACCAATAGTTAGATTTAAACAAGTTCAACTGAATAATATTTGACAATTATTTAGATGAATATAATATACAATAACATTAGATTAACCTACTATGACCGATAAATGTAACTGATTCAATGAGCCTTTAGTCATTATTACACTATACATATATATACTCTAATATATACATATTAGTCTACTATACTATTACATAATTCATTGTTTTAATAAATAGTTATGATTATATGTATCCTGTATTAATTGAATTCAGGTCAAAGTCCTTTGTAACCATAACAAATATTGATATCTGATTAGAATTTAATGATTATTTTTTTTCCTGTTAATATCAAGTAAAAATGATTTGATACCCATTTACACCCCTTACACCTCCGCCACCACCACCACCACCACCACCACCACCACCACCACCACCACCACCACCACCACCACCACCACCACCACCACCACCACCACCACCACCACCACAACCACCACCACCACCCCATATTCAATTGAATCTATATATAAAGTGAAACAAAGAATTAAACGGGTATATTTTGATGATACAATGATAATCATATACAAATCGTTTTTAATATCATTATTAATTATATCATTAATTATTACCCAAGAGATTACATGTTTTCTAGGTATGTTATTATTTTGTTAATATATATAATATAAATGATAGATGTTCTATGTTGGGGATCTATTTGTAGGCTAGTACTATACATATATTTTCTATTGTATCATTGTTATGTAACTAAACTATTCATCTTTGTATTCCTCTTATTATAAGCTTTATTTTGATATATAGACTAATGTTATATGATTTATCATTCTTGAGTTATACCCAGTCTATTCATTACAGTCTCCCACATTCACAGTCACTCTTGAATAGATCGTGTACAAATGTGTATTTTCTAATTTATGGTGTGATGTGGCTTGTTTGGTTGGTATATAAACTCAATATGTTTGCAATATAATGATTCATATCACAGAGTCTGAGATTGGTGTTCCGGACTCGAACCGGCAGAGGTAAGCAGGACTGATGAGGACTCTAGACTGTTCGTATGGGTTTTATACGTCATTGGTCTGGTCGATAAATCATTTGTGGTGATTAATATTCAATATAATCTTCAAACATTTTATACAATTGGTTTGGATAACCATCACTAGATAACGCGCTAACGGTGTATTAATCAGAAGGTGAATACGAAATGTTGATTGCATTTATTATTGCACTATGCACAGATAATCAAAATTATAGGTACGTTAAGCAAGCATGAAAGAGTAGCGCTGTAAAGCAAGCGTACAAACGAGTCGAATGAGCGAGTCGGCGAGTCAATGAATAGGATTAAAGTGTACATTTATGTATACATAATGAAATGAATGAATCATCGAATCAATTAAGCGACTAATCGTAAGGCTAGCACAATGAATATATAAGTAGGCAGTAAGCAAATACAATGCTCAAGCACACATATTCATACAAGCACAACAATAATAAAGGTACAATCATATAAGATAAATTGTTATTGTACAAATGATTCGGTCCTTCAAATAAGCTAACAAAACGGCTTAATCAAATGAAACATGATTAAACTCAATTGCTATATACTGTTCTCTAATTGGCTGTATCATTACGTCATATATATTAATAGGGCACAATGCCAAAAGGGTGAAACTATAATTTATGAACGATTTTGGCACGAAATCATTCATCCATTTGGCTAAATAGAGTTTTGGCATTATAGATGATGTCAGTTCGTGATGATAAAACCTGAATCTAATTCCTAACCTATAACCATTAACTATAAATTATAATCCTTATTCTTTAAACTGCTATATTACCCTCATTTAATCCTAGTAATTAGGTAGACACTCTCAAGGTTACTTTAACGTCGGTCAAACGGCGTCCATAAATTATGGTCTCACTGCCACAAGTTGTGACATTATCTACACTTCAGAACGGCATATTATAGATATCTTTTTATTTTTTACAGTGATGTTAATAGGTCATTTCATATTTGTGATTACTTTGGTTAAGTAAAATCAAGGATATACATGAAATACGATAAAATCAACGATAATCTATATTCTATGCATCCAAAAACACATAATCTTTTGTCATCTTTAATAGACTTTTCCGACAGTTTTCAGCAATTTGGAAGACTCTTCCAGTCTTCCACAATGTACCTAAATAAATGGTTGCTCTGGTTAAAAGGGTCATCAGCATCGTGACTTCCGAAGGAACTCGGATTTCACCATGAGGTGTCATAACTCTTCTAAATGAAGACTTTCCGGCTCCTAGGGCAGAGTTTAAATGGTTTGAAAGGTTTTTCTATGGTAAGCGTTCCTTTAGCAAGTTAGTTTTCTATGGGATAGGGCCGCTAACCTCATGTTCAACCCTCCTCCTTTATCCGGGCTGAGGGCCGGCAATAGCCCAAGAGGGCCCGCACACAAAAACCATGATTCATGACCCTTTACAATTCATCTCTGTTTACATTTCTAGTTTATTCAGTTCAATCTACTCAATCTTCTGCTACCATTCATCCATTGATGATACACACTACTTATATCCGTTAGCATAAGTAGCATACCTCATAAATCTATTATTGTTCTGTTATTCTTTACATTTTTAGGTTTAAAATGTGCAGAACAAGGTGAAAAATGTACAAAAACATTATTCAAACGATGTTGCGGTAATCTTGTATGTCAACTTCAAGGACCATTTGATGGAATATGTGTAGATTGTTTAAGGTTGGAGTCAGCTTGTATGGCAGATTATGAATGTTGTAGTAAACGGTGTCATTTGTTTGCCTGTAAACCACCACTTCAATAAATTTACATTTATCATTTACGGTTTAACTTGTTTGAAATGATAAAATGTATCATGTTTCTTTTGAAATAAAAGAACTATTCACTTCTATTCAGTTGTTGTTCTAAGATAGATCTGATTCCCACAACATTTATTCATTAATTTTAATAGTTGAGTTCATAAGTCAATTGAAGCTGAACCAACAGTGAAAAGTTTAAAGCACTGTAGGTTGTTTCATCCTAGTATGGAACCCATCAGCAATGCGTAACCACGATCCAATGCTTTCGGGTTTTCTATGGTGGTCTAACTTGAATTAACTTATGAACTCAACTATTTAATTACTACAATATCCACAAAATCCTTTTTCTGATAATAATCATCATGTGCTCACTAGTGACTGCTTCCAACTGGTATTTCTTGGAGTTCTAGTGAGGAGCCGTGACCAATGAAGTTTAATGATCTCTGTTATGAGGTAGTTACTCACTGAAGACAAAAGTGGACGGTGTAAAAATTTCGTGAATTGGTTGAAGTTAAGCATTAACATCGCTGAATGCCAGATAAGTGGTCTGGAGGCTAATTGTTTTTAAATGAGACCAAAATTTCTGGGTCCGAGTTCCGCGAGTGGGATAGTGGATGCACGCACTGTCGGGTAGTCCCATAGTAGGATTAAACGGCAATTCAGTACTTCCAGGTTTTTAATGATGGTCTAGCTTCAATTGACTCATGATCTCAACCATTAAAAAATTATCAGAAGGGGGTTTTGTGAAGATTTTTAGTAATTTTACGGTTGAATACATGACTTAATTAAATCTAGAATATCGTGAAAAAGCTGGAAGCACTGGATGGTCGTTTCGTCCTAGTATGGAACTCATCAGCAGTGCACATCCACGATTACGCACGCGGCATTCAACCCCAAGTCTAACCGGTCTCACGAGCGAACGCCTAACCTCTAGACCATTGAACTGGCATTCATCGATTCATGAATGACTGTACAACCATTCATCTATTGTCTGAGGTAGATACTTGTCTCTACCTGACACGGATTGAACTCCACTGATCACGGCTTCTCATTAGAACTCCAAGAAGTCATCTTGAAGCTAATCACCAGTCAGTACATAATGATTATTATCAGTATATTAAGTATTTCATATTTCTGTCGAATCTCACTTCATAACAATATACTGTAAAGTATTTTGTTGGCAATGAACTATAAACTGTAAATCACTTTATAATTACACGAGAAATTCAATGATCAATAAGTCTCTTAATCATATTGATTATCTATCAATACACTACATATCCATAAACATTAGCTTTCATCCAGTTAGTTGCCAGTCTATTAAGATTACTGATCATTTATTATTTCAGTAGTATTGTAATGATTTGAGTTAACTTTTATCACATAGATTGTCATTTATTAACTATCAAATGACATAATCCAATATGAATGTTCATATATGTCATAATATCAGGAATTTTAAGGAGAGCAAGAACCAAGGTTGGTGCAGAATAATAAATGAATTCATTTTTTATTTCGTTACGTCCTCATCAACTGCTTACAACGTAAACTATTTGAAATTCAACGTTAATACAGATATTGACATATATCAGAGGGGGATGAAGGATGAATCTGATGTAGCAAAGATGCTGTTAGAGTTAATGAGGTCATAAAATTTGTTTCGAATATATATATAGTTTGGGAGGGAAGGTTCCATAACATAGAAATAATGATTAGAACTCATGGAATTAAAACACATTAGTTGATTACGTAACGAAGTAACACTGAAAATAGATTAATGGTAATAAAGAGAGATATGCATTGAAATTGATCAGTTATGAATGATGTAATTATAAATTTTTTTGGAAAGAGTTGGAATGACGTAATAAATAAAAGGGGGGAAGGGGTAATGTTACCAGGGCAAAGTAAGATTTATTACTGTTTCTTTTTGTATACAAAGATTTGGTTTTAAACATTTGATTGCTATCGCTTCGGCGAATTTTAAAAGGTTGGAATTTGATTGTTTCTTGATCACCTTGAAGGATTTCAGTATATCGATTTCGTGTCCTGTGTCAAGGAGATGTCTTGAGATAGCGTTGCTGAATGTTTTTGGTTCGTTTGATCTCAAACCCTTCGGAATATGTTCTTTGAATCGGACGTAGGCTCTCCTTTCTGTTCTACCAATTAACTATTTAGATTCAAGGTAAAACTGTACTATCGATACAGTTGAATGACGTTGTGATAACGTTACATTTAAGATTGATAGATTATTCAATAACAAATGCAGATAAAGACAGCCAGCATAGCAGCAGTCTCTGCATCAGTAGGCCTCAACATACACAAAGGGAAAACCAAGGTCCTCAAACACAACACGGAGAACAGCAATCCAATTACTCTTGATGGCGAAACTCTGGAAGACGTGGAATCCTTCACATACCTGGGAAGCATCGTCGATAAACAAGGAGGTTCAGATGCAGACGTCAAGGCGAGGATTGGCAAAGCTAGAGCGGCATTCCTTCAACTGAAGAACATATGGAACTCAAAACAACTTTCAACCAATATCAAAGTCAGAATCTTCAATACGAACGTCAAGGCAATTCTACTGTACGGAGCTGAAACATGGAGAACTACAACAACCACCATCAAGAAGGTACAGGTATTTATCAATAGCTGTCTACGCAAGATACTCAACATTAATTGGCCGGATACCATCAGCAACAGCCTTTTGTGGGAGAGAACCAACCAGCTTCCAGCTGAAGAGGAAATTAGGAAAAGACGATGGAAATGGATAGGACATACATTGAGGAAATCATCAAACTGCATTACGAGACAAGCGCTAACTTGGAATCCTGAAGGGAAGAGGAAAAGAGGAAGGCCAAAGAACACATTACGTCGGGAAATAGAAGCAGATATGAAAAAGATGAATAAGAACTGGAAAGAGCTTGAAAGGATTGCCCAGTACAGGGTTGGATGGAGAATGCTGGTGAGCGGCCTATGCTCCTTCACGAGGAGTAACAGGCGTAAGTAAGTAAGTTCCATTTTCTAGTTTAGCCAGAAAAAATATAGACAAGAATAGAGCTTAGGTATATTCCCATTGTAACTTCATCTAATTGTTTGTAAAATTTATTATTAAACATAAAGTAGACATTTATGGTGCATTTCATCAGAAGCTCCTTCATCTTATTTATGATGAACGGTATCACTATTCTATTTTGTAGCACTTATTCATATATATGTAATTGATAGTCTCGTTTACTGAGATGGCAATGAACAAACATAAATGAGACTATAATTTATAGACGAACCAATCGGATTTACGATAACATATCTTGTTATTTTGGCATGAAATTCACTCATCCATTCAAATGGAGATTTTAATCATTTCAATTGTTGAGATTATGATTTAATTAAAGTTAGATCATCATGGAAAGTTACATATTTATTACGTATCAATACTGAACTAAAGAGTTATACTTATTTAAAACAATTAGTCCCTTTGATAAATTTCGATAATTCAATGAGAAGACGAAGTTTATCAGATCTATGTGATCTATTAGCGCAATACATTATGAACAATCTGATCACACATTATAGACTTGTTAAGAGCATTTATATATAAAAATAAAAGGTCAACTAGACAGGTTAAGGGTAATTTCACTGGTTGAAATCATGAATCCATTGAAGCTAGACCACCATGGAAAACCTGGAAGCACTGGACGGCCGTTTCGTCTTAGTATGGGACTCCTCAGCAGTGCGCATCCACGATCCTGCTCCTCGCGAGATTCGAACCCAGGACCTATCAGTCTCGCGCTAGGCGCTTAACCAACTAGGTTAAGGGTAAGTCATAACAAAGGAAAAGTACACAAGAAAACAAATGTCATTACCACTCTGGATAATAAGTCAGTATTACCAGGGTAGGTTTAGTGTAAGGACAAATTGTTTTTGAACACATAAAGGGGGTTTTAGTTTCCGTATAGCTAACGCTTCAATAAACCTTAGTATACGTCCTTGAAGGCTTTTGTATAACACTACAAATGCTGATTTGATGTCGACCTTATGACCCGTCTCAATCAAATGTTTCGCAATGGAGGATGATGTCTGTCTATCCTATGATCTTATTTGACCATTGGAATCCATTTGTTTTTGCAACCATTTTGGTATGTGTTCACCCACTCTTAATTGCAAATCACGATTGCTCCTCCCTATATACGTGTTTCCACACATACATGTAAATTGATAGACGCAATGGGATGTGATACAATCGCTTACGTGCTGTTTGGGCTTTTGGTGAAACATAGACCTTGTCTTTTGAATAATGACAAGTTGGGCTGCATAAAATGTCCGGTTGATGGCTAATTTAAGTCTCCGTTTCAACATGAGACTATTTGTGTCGCCTCTGAATGGTAACGTAATATAAACTCGCTTTTTGGGTGCCAGAAGCGTCATAGGTCTAATCGTATTGCAACCCTTCCAGCGGTTTATGAACTTCAAGGGATAACCATTATTCACTAACGTATCAGTCAGCAGTTTCGTCTCGACTTCAATAGTATCACTAGTACAGATACGATTGATTCTACTGAATAAGCTCTTTATTAAACCGCGTTTGTAATGAATAGGGCAGTGACTATGAAAATTAAGATATTGCCCTGTCCATGTTGGCTTTCTATATATAGCACGTTGGATAGAACCATCATCTCTCCTACTGATCAAGATGTCTAGAAAAGGAAGTTGGTTGTTCTTCTTTTCTTTACATGTAGGAGAAATGTGGTTTTAATTTCTATTGAATTCTTTTAACAAGTGGTTTATATCTTCACCTTTATCCTCTATGATTATTATATCATCAACATATCGTTTATACCGACCCATCTTTCGAATTGAGTTTTCAACTAACTTTTCAACATATCCCATGAACACATCAGCCAACAATGATCCTAGATCAGATTGTTCGAAAGGTATTGCGCTAATATATCACATAATTCTGATAAACTTCGTCTTCTCATTGCATTATCGAAATTTATACTTGTTTATTGTGTAATGAAAATCATTTATCACTTTATATACTGGTTATATAATCTAAATTACATATACAAAGAGAATGTCGATGAATAGATAA